ATGACCAGAGAACTTGGATATATAGGCAAAATAAATAGTAAATGAGGAAGAGTTTTGTTTTCAAGGAATATTTTCAGAAATTTTAAGCCACGGATTACTGACTTTAAGTCATTTTGTACACAATCCATAAATTAACCCTCTCTGGATTAGGGAACAGTTTGCAGCTTTGAATATCCACCAGCTGATTTATGTTTACCTTTTGTGAAAGAGCTTTAGTAAACTAAACTTAAAGAGATCATTCCCTTTTAGAATGATAGCCTAGAAATGTATGTCAAAGTTTTTTAAAAATATAAAAGGATATTAAAATAATTAATAGGCAAAATAGTGGAAGTTGCACTACCTGGAGAAAATAGAACAAAAGAGAAAGAACTGGAGAAAATCACAAAATAAACACCTGCAAATAGAACGACTGTGGCAAAAGAAAGCAAAGACAGTACGAGTAGTAATAGGTGCCTTGGGTGCAATCCCAAAAACATGTGGAGCACCATTTGAACACCATCAGCATTGACAAAATCAGTTGCAAAAGACAGTTTACATCCTGCGACAATACCTTTAATACCATCAAACAACATCTGCCTATTCCAGGTCCTTGATATTCCAGGTCCTGGATAAAAATGCCAAATCCAGTCTAAACATCTGACTAATTGTGCAACCAACCATAATCATAATACAGCCAGTTTGGTGTGGTGGAATCAGGCTTGAAACTGGGAGACTGTGAGTCCTAGTCCCACCTTAGGCACAGAGACAACTGGGTAACCTTGGCCCAGTCCCCCTCTTTCAGACAATTACCAAGAGTCAACACTGACTCCAAGGTACTAAATAAATAAGCAACCTGACTCAGAATAAGAGAGTTTGAAGGGACCTTGGAGGCCTTCTAGTATAACTCCTTGCTCAAGCAGGAGATCCTGACAATGATTGTCCAATCTCTTCTTAAAAACCTCCAGTGACGAAGCACCCCCAACTTCTGAAGGTAAGCCGTTTGAAAGTTTAATTGTTCTAATTGTGAGGAGATTTCTTCTTATATCTTATCTAGGTTGGTTCTCCTGGATTAGTTTCCATCCATTGCTTCTTGTTTTTCCTTCATGTACTTTGGAGAATAAGTTGACCCCCTCTTCTTTGTGACAGCCCCTTAGATATTGGAACATCACTTGTAGTCCTTTTCATTAAACTACACATACCCAATTCCTGCAACCATTCTTCCTATGTTTTAGCCTCTAGTTCCCTAATCATCTTTGTTGCTGTTATTTGCTCTCTATTTTTAGACTCTCAACATCTTTTTTATATTGTGGTGACCAAAACAGGATGCAGTATTCCAAGTATGATCTTACCAAGGCAGACATGTCAAACTCGCGACGTCACAAGCCGTTGCAGGCAAGCAGACAGTGGGAGGGAGCGGATGAGTGGCTGCAAAGTCAGACATCCCCAGGAATTAAGCCCTAATGGGTCTTTTGGTCCAAAACAAATAAAGAAAATAAATAACGAAAACACAGTATCACTTTAAGGAATGAGAGAGATATTATGCTAGGCATGCAGAATGGAGGAATTTGCAATAGAGAATTCTCCATATCCATGAAGGCTCTTCACGTGAATAGAGATGCAGAAATATTGAGGTTCTCAATCTGTGGAGAATCTCAGATCCATAGAGGCTCTTTATTGCAGATGCTTGCCCTCCATTCATGACAGAAAAAGGGATTAGCATATCCACTGACACAGTTTAAAGTCCAAAAGAAAGTTACCAAGGAAGAAGAATTTGAAAGCCCAATAGACTCACTGAGGATTTCTCTGTAAAAGGCTAAGTAATGATTCCCTAAAAACAGATTATCCAGAATTATCTATCACCATCTAAATGTGCAGCTTCAAAAGCAGATTTGTTTCTCACATAATGGTGGTATTATGGAATCATCCAACAGTGAGATTCAATTTAACATAGGTTAACTTAGCTTGAGCCAAGGACAAATTTGTATAACCCTAAAATGCTTCTAAGATTTTTTTTCAGATGTGCATATCTTCATCAACATTTTTTCCCCTGAAAGTAAAAACTTGAAAATTGTTGTTGCAGTCTCAGATAATGCTGTATACTGAAACCAACTAAAAACCACCTCAAATAATCCTGTATACCAGGGGTAGTCAACCTTGGCTCTTTTATGACTCGTGGACTTCAACTCCCAGAAATCCTAAGCCAGCTCGGGATTTTCAGGTGGTGTCCTGTCCAAGTAGAAACCAGTAGAAGCCCAGCTGAGGTCTTTGAACTTGAGGCCATTCTCTTCTCCTAGTTCAAGGTAGGCAACCTTGGCTCTTTTATGACTCGTGGACTTCAACTCCCAGAATTCCTGAACCAGCCAAGCTGGCTCAGGAATTCTGGGAGTTGAAGTCCACGAGTCATAAAAGAGCCAAGGTTGACTACCCCTGCTGTATACGGAAACCAACTGTATACTGAAACCAACTAGAAACCAATAGAAATTTAACATTATCCATGTTGACCAGCAGCAGCTCTTTAATATTTCACAGAGGAGGTCTACTTAGGCATTGGACAAGCCTGGGATTGAACTTGTCCTCTTCTGCCTGTGAATGATATGTTCTACCATTGAGTTATCATCCATTTTGAAAGATAATTTGTCTAGAAATTGAACCAAAATCTGGGTGGCTCTTGTGTTACATCTTAAACACCAGGCCTTTAAATAATATATAATTTCTTGTTCCAACACACAGAAACAAAATTCACGTGACTTCACCTTTAAAGAGTGCTTTGTAGGGAGTTAAATTTGGGGAGGACAAAGATAACATATGTGAAGCTGAAAGCACTTGCCAATCAAAATAAGGGCTCTTGTGGGTGAAGACATAGTTGTATTATTTAGAATTTAGCTTGCCAGTAAGTTAATAAAGTGGTAGGCAATTTATAGGACCGCTATTACTCATTCGCAGGAGAGGCATACTAAAATTGTACCAAAAAAAAAATAGATTTTCTTAGGTTTTTCTACAAATTTATTCTCTCCAAATCACTATAGCATGGAATTTGCTTCCATGTGTGTTGATTAAAGTAAAGGATCCTTCTCTGGGTCAAGTTCTGTCTAGAGTTTCAGAGAAGGGGGAGCTTCGGCTATTCACAGCTAGGTGCATTGTTAAAGCTCATACTATCACTTTGACATTTAGAGGTAGGACTCAGTGTCTTTGTAAATTCTTCTTCTTCATATTACTGCCATGTCTCTGGGCTCCAACCGTTTCACAAACCATAATATTTTTTAGTGAGTGATTGATCTGTATTATGTGTCTCGGCCATCAGAGGAATCTTGAGATGTTGCTTGTATAAAATGTAATACAATCTGACACTGAGTGTTTGGTTACATGCTTTCATAGACCCATTGGCGATACACAATCCTCCTGGATTTGGGCATAAGGCTTATCTGATACCTTCCCAAAAAGTCCCTCATTTTCTCTGTTCCCCACTTAAATAACTCAACACATCTGGGTTAACACTGTAGGATCATTGTCCTTTCAGTTCTCCTGCAGCTCAGATTGCTACAATATTTCCTTAAGTATCTGATTACTGAGAGGGCAAGACAAAATTTCTCTCTGAAAAGGAGGCTGTTCTTAAATAGACTTAGAAATTAATTCCCATGCATCATTTAAAAAAAAAGATTAATTGGTTCCATTTGCAGAGGTGTCTTGCTAAGCATGTTTGTTTAAGAGATCAAAAGCATACTGTGCATATTTACTCAGAAGCAAACCATATAAGACTAAGTGTGGCTTTCTTTCATATCTAAAGTATATAGGATTTTAATCTAAACATAATAGAGTGGGGGGAAGATTTATATATCAAGCTATAATGGTCATCAAGAATGTTAAGAGGTTTATAGAAGTAACTTTTGGGCCTTTATTTTCCATGCTGGCTTCAGTTACAAGAATGATAAAAACCTGAAACTGAATACTCTTAATTCAATAATAAATGGACACCATTTTAGGGACGAGGGAGGGAGAATTTGATATAGACCCATATACCTAGGAAATTAATCATGGAAGAATAAACCTATAGCAGGCAGGATAGCCGTAAGGTAGATATATATTAAATATATTGCCCTAAATCCTCCAATACTATTCTAGCAAAGGGGGTTCAAAATCAGAGCTCTGATTTCTTATACTACCGTAATTCCAGTGAGACCATAATCTAGCTGAAACTATGTTTAGTTTTTTTATTTTGGATTCTATTCAGTTTTTAATGGGAACACCTGAGAACCTTAAAGATAATAGTTTGCTAAATAACAATTCCATGTTGGCAAAAGTTTTTTTTATGCACAAGTCACTGTTGTTTCTGGGATAGGCTGCTAAATGCAAGTTTAGTGTGTCCAGTATATGAAATAAGTTATAAAGATTAACTGTTTTGGGTTTAAAAACAAATGCATTAGGTACAACAGGCTGAATTTTTAATAGTTCCCAGAAGGTTGTTATGATCTCTGTATGCCTGGTAGCTTATTTAATTTATATTTTAATATAGTGGTTTTCCAACTTTGTAGTACCATAACCCTCTAATGTGAAAGATGTATTTGTGCGAAACTCCCCCATGAATAAAACTAATACTTTATTGGTGTTAGGTTTGGGCAAGAAATAAGTATACTGTTTTTAATAATTAAATTTTAATCTGTATATCATACAGCCTTGTAATATAGCAGCTGCCCACTTGGGCTTGTTCGAGCAAAATAAGGACCTACCATAGGGTGAATTTTGACAGTATTCCCATTTCCCTGCACAAAGCCTGATTTAGGTTTTTTTAATCTTTAATTGCTCATAATCCCCGGGGGGGGGGAGTCTCAACCTATAATTTGAGAGCTCCTCACTTTAATAACTTTGCTTTTTTTAAAATTAACTTGAAATGTAGTTTAAAAAAAAAAAATAAGGTGCCTTCAGGACACAGATGCTTTTTTATTTAAGCTTCCCTGTGTTCTTAGTTTAGCATCCTTTAGTAACTATGTAATTATCTTGCTTGAAACTTGTTCTTTTTCTTTCAGGTGGTAGAGATTATGTCAAGTGCCATTGGCGAATTAGTACAAGGAATATATTATGAAAATTCAAGCTCAGGAAAGGTAAATCGACAGTTCACAAATGTACTTGTGTTTAAATCACTTTCTCCCTCTTACGTTAAAAAAATAAAGCTTGGGTTAATCTGAATGAAGACTTCCCTTCACGTTATTATTATTATTATTATTATTATTATTATTATTATTATTATTATTATTATTAGTGCATACCTTCATCAATCAGATGCTCGAATATATAAAATATCTCTTTTTCTTGATATGTTTTGTGTTTGTAAATATAGGCAATTAGTATAGGCGAATATAGTAACGTTTCTGTTACTAAGGACGTTGTTAAGCGAGTCATAGCCCATTTTACGACCTTTGTGACCTGGTTGTTAAGCAAATCACTATAGTTTTTAAGTGAATCTGGCTTCCTCCATTGACTTTGCTTGTCAGAAATTCGCAAATGGTAACCACATAATCACCCCAGGAGAGTGCAACTGTCATAAATACATGCCAGTTGCCAAACATCTGAACTTGATCAATGACCATGAGGATGCTGCAACGGTCATCAGTGTGAAAACTAGTCATAAGTAACTTTTTTCAGTGCTGTTGTAACTTTGAATGGTCACTAAACAAATGGTTGTAAGTTGAGGACTACCTGCATAAGGCTGTCTTGTTAGAAGGCCCTTGAGAAGATTGCAAATGGCAATTCATGTTACTTAACGACCATTCAGGTTAAGTTGGATTTTAAAAAAGCTACTTACGACCCATCCTCAAAGTTACAACTTCCAGACACACATCTGGGCACATTCATGTGATTGCCATTTCAGGCAGCTTGGCAACTTGCTCACCTTAAAGACTGTTTGCAGCATTTTGCGATCATGTGACTAGGATTTGCAATATTTTTTCACATTTTCCCACAGAAAATGGCAAAAAAAACATCCATTGAAAATGCTGGATTAGCTCAAGGACTGTGGTGACTCGGTTAACTATCACAAAAGCCAGCATGACATCAAGTCTATCATGTAGTGACTTGTTTAACCATCACAACAACAAACAACCAAAATTCCAGCCTTGGGTGTAGCTGTAGGTGGAGGATTGCCTGTATACATCTCTTTGGAAGTTCTGTACAGTAGTATACTTTTATCTTTGTAGTACCTGTCAAAGCCCTTTCAGACAAAGCTAGATTTCTTGATGTGTTATAGTAATTGTCTAAAAAAAAATGGAGAAAAGATTGCATGGCAAAAGGCAGAATAGGACGAAGGTCAGCTTGAAGCTCAAATTTACCTCTAAATAATAGTGTAATCAAAGAAAGTTGTGCTCTCTTATTATCTATCTTCATTTCATTTTTCTTTCTCTTTTCACATTTAATTTTCTCTTTTAAGGCATATTTCGTGGTATAAGGACGGAGCCCTCTTTTTTCTCATTTAAATACAGTTTACTGTGGAATTTGAATAAAATATAATACATTTTATAGGTCCATTTATTCTAACCCTTTTTATCACAAACATCAAAGGCATATATTAATAGACCAATAAAATATGTCCTGTCATGTCCAACAAGCAGTAAGACATCTGCTAAGTGAGACATCAATCACATGCAAGATGTTTGCAGGGTTACTGTGTTGTTGCTGAAGACTCACAATTTTATTGGCTTTTTTCCTACACAGATGGGAAAATAAAGATTGTTGAATCATCTCACTTATAGCTGAAGCACTGAATGATCCAAATTGCAGTGTTTTTTTTTCCCAGCCTGTGCATTGTTCTGACTTAGATTTAACTGAAGTTTGTAATGCCATATTGTCTGTGTGACAGGGTGTGACGAACAGCAGTGTCACACATTAGGATGTACTTCAAATCACATAGAATCGGTTTTTTTAGAAACTTTAGTTTATTGCAGTTCGTGCATTTCATTTTGAAATATTTTTATAATTATTTTCTGTTCTTTTCTCTATAGCCTGATGGCTTGGAGAAGTCACTCAAGTTCCATTGGCTGCATTTCATTGGGATAAATGAAGTGAACTAAGATAGGGTAAAGAAGGCACATGTTGTGATACGGGTAGTCCTTGCTTGCCGACCACTTGTTTAGCAACCATTCAAAGTTACGGCAGTATTGAAAAGGAGATTTGCAACTGGTTCTTGCAGTTGCAGCTACAACGTTATGTGATTGCAATTCAGGCCCTTGGCAATCTGCACGTTTATGATGGTCGCAGCATCCCATAGTCATGTGATCACTATTTGAGACCCTCATAGGTGGCTTTTAACAAGCAAAGTCAATGGGGGAACCCCAGCAAAAGTCACCTGTTGTGTTCACATGACATCATACTTAATGATCCACAGTAATTTGCTTAACAACTGCAACTGATGTTGTAAGTCAGCATGGTCACATGACATTTTATTTAATGACTGCATCACTTATCAATGGGAATTGCTGGTCCCTATTGTTAGTAAGTGAGGACTACCTGTACCTCTATGTTTAAAGTTATTTGAAGCTAAACTTGATTAAGTATGGGTAGTCCTCAATTTACAACAGTTCATTTAGTGACCATTCAAAGTTATAACAGCACTGAAAAAAGTGACTTATGACTGTTTTTCCTACTTACAGTTATTGCAGCATCCCCGTGGACATGTGATCAAACTTCAAACACTTGGCAACTGACTCATATTTATGACAGTTGCAGTGTCCCATAGTCATGCAATCACACATTTGTGACCTTCTAACAAGCAGAATCAATGGGGAGGCCAGATTCATTTGATAAATGTATGACTAACTTAACTGCAGTGATTCTCTTAGCAACTGTGGCAAGAAAGGTCGTAAAATGGAACAAAACTTACAACTACTGTACCACTTCGCAACAGAAATTTTGGGCTCAATTGGGGTCATAAGTTGAAGACTACCTGTACTCTGGACTTCACCCAGGGTCTCTTTGTGCTTTTCCCTTCTACTTCCTAGTGTCCTAAGTCTGCCTGGAAGATCCCACCGACTTCCTGAAAGATATTTGGGGAGAGGGCATGCGTATTGCATATTCTTACACACAGCCAAAAATATTTTTGCAAGCAATATGAAGTAAACTGAGTAATTGGGATCTATTACACTATACTGTAATAGTGCTGGCAGAAAAGCCCATTTGATAGTCAGACTTGAGTGGATAGTCAGGAGAAAGTTTGATTGGAAGGATGTTTCAGGGCTTGAGGATATAGCTTAGATTGAGAATATTTTGTATGCGTTACAGGGACAGAAGACAAATTAACACAGTGACCGGCAGAGGGAGATAAGATGGGAAATCCTGGATGGAGTTCTAGGAGAAGGAAATGCCATCTTCTTCACAATTAATTGCTTCTTCCTACATTCTCTGTGGTGTTGCTTGGGTATCTTTGCTTCAGGCTTCTGTTAGTTAATGCCAGGTTTGTTTGTAATAAGACCGTAATTCTCCACAACTTATTAATTGAGGAACAAGTGGACCTGCTTGGCCTGCATATGTGAGACCTATCTGGATGAGAATGGGGGCAATGCTTAACCATAGAAAGGACTAGATAGAATTTACAAGAAAAATGAAAGATGGAATCAGAATATCCTATTTCCAAATTCTAAATCTTTCTCCTAATACTTAGTCCAGTTTAGCCCATATGTTTTCTGTATTTAATAATATCAAACAAAACAGTTTCACCCCATTACATGAACTGTCATATTTTTGCTTTCATTTTAAAATGTGGTTGCATTTATATAAACTTCAGCAGAAAATGTATCTTTTTATTTGCATCCTAAATATATTTTTAGAACTATAAATTATACTAAGACTTTACAGTTTACTCCTGAATTATGTATGTGTCATAACTTATCATACTATATGGTGTTTCTATTAGTACTGTGAAAGTTTCAGCTTCATTTATAAAAGGTCCTTTGGCATATATGAAGGTACAAAGGAAAGTAGAGTTGGGGGGCCTGTCCTGTATTGCAGAGGTCCCCAACCTATGGGCCGCGGCCCACTACCTCTTGGCTGCCGAGCCGCATGAGTAGCTGGGCAGTGCACCCGTGTGTGCGCGTGCTCACCCCCCTTCATGCCACTGTTGCCGCAAATGTGTGGGCAGTGGCAGTGCCACTAGTATTGCACGGATGGCGGTAGCGCCGCAAGTGGCAGGTGGCCCATGGCGTGATCCTTGCACAGGGGCTGTGGTGCGATCCTTGTGCTGGGGCGGCATCGCTGTGGGCCGCAGCACAAGCCTCGCATGGGGGCGGCAGTGCAAGCCTCACGCCGGGGGTGGCATGCTGCAGGCTGTGGCGCGATCCTCGCACTGGTAGTAGCATCGCCGCGAACCTGGAGCAGTGGCGCCACAAGCCTCATACAGGCGTCGCCATCGCTGAGAGTCTTGTGCGCATGCTTGCAGCCCCATTTGTGTGGTACACATGCTCGCAGCCTGTTTGTACATGTGCGTGCATGTGTGGCCACATTCACATTCGCACATGTGCTTAAGGCGTCTGCCCCTCCCTCTCCCACTGGGCCGCCAAAACAAAAAGGTTGGGGACCCCTGCTGTATTGGATGGGAGAGTATTCCAGAGCATAAGGACAAAGCACACTTCCTGGGTCCCATGAGATGGCAAAGTTTAAAAGAGGAACGTGGGGCAGATCCTCCCTATGAGAGCTGGTTGAGTGGGCAGATATTCTTGGAAGAAGGTTGTCCTCCATGGTTTAGGTCAGTGTTTTTCCAACTTGGCAAATTTGGAAAATTTCAACTCCCAGACTTCCCCAACTAGAATATTGAAGCCAAGTTCTGTGTTCGTGCTTCTGGGCATTCCAAAATATCTTTTTGAAATCCAAAGTGAGGGATTGCATTGCCATAATTCTTATAAGAGAAAATTAGTTCTTATAAAGTGTGCAGTTTAAAATATAAATGGCTAAAATCTCATGGGATATATGAAAATATAGAAATCTCATAATATTTGGCATTCTTCAGGAAATTTCACCCATCGTATTTTTTTCCCAACATTGTAATAGCAGAGGCACTATTGTGTATGCTGATGCCATCTTGCTATTCCTTAGAAATATCCTAAGAGAAAGCAGCTTTCCTGTTTTGTGTATATATGCACACATCTTTATTGATAGATAAGCCTTATGCAAAAATCTTCTCAGGACCTCCTATATTGGAGTGTATGTAGTGATCATTTTCATAGCATTTTACTCAGTAATTATTCTTTAAGGCTCAAGACAAAGATATTTTTATAACAGCAATTACTATGGACTGTTACAGAAATGTCTGGGTCTGCAAGTTGTTTTCAGGATGGGAACTACCCATTGCTATGCATTTATACTAGTTACGTTTAAATAAATTTGACATTATAGGAAACTACCTATTTCACATGTGGGCAGACAATCCTTGCGGAATGTTAATTAAAAAGAATGAAGCAGTTGATTTGCATCCTATATTAATAGGTACTCAGACTGAATGCCTTCTTCGGATGCAGTTTCTTCTTTTTCCATGTTTAGATCAAACTTTAAACTGCCAAAATAAAGCCACCTTCTTGGCTTTGTCATTAGCCAAAAAATAAGTCATTGTTGGTACATGTTTCTGGTAGTAGCCAACATAGCAGTTACCATGTTTCTCTCCACATTCACACAGTGTGTTATTATCTGCTAAGAGCCTTCACTTGACATACTGATTGACACTTGACACTCAGGCACTCCAAATCTCAACCTATTCAGGGTCCTCCAGGTACTATAAGGGAGGTTGGATTCTTCAGCCAGATCCTCCTTTAATGTTATTACTTGATGGTCTTCTTCCTCCATCTTTTAATTTGATTTTGTTTTTGTGTACCCTCAAGAATGTTTGTTCGTGCCATAAAGCTGTTCCTAGATGTGAGTCGGCGGGCTTGTGGCCATTCAGAGGATGTCAAGGATCATTCTCTTGCTTAGTTTTCTCGGCGTCTGCTGCTACCTTTTTCTTGATCTTGAGCAATGCCAGCCAGAGGATATATCTTCTCAATTGGTGTAGGTTTGAGACATCCTGTCACTGCTTCATTAATGGTGATATCAACTTGTTTCACATGTGCAGATGTGCCCCACTCTGGAGCAGCATATTCTGCTGCAGAGACACTCAAGGCCAAAGCTAATATGCGCAACATAGATGGTTGAACTTCCTTGATGGTGTAATATGTTCTTAATTCTACACGGGCTACCATAGACTTCGCAGCTATCTCATAAAAAATTGATCCTTATGTGGCCACTGCTGTATCGTCTGCATAGATGAATAGATGTGTATTGTTGGAGACTGGTTAATCATTCGTATATATGTTATACAATGTCGGAAACAATACATTTTCTTGTGGAGCCTGTTCTTCTGCATCTTCCACTTCTGTTCTTACCATTCACATAAACTTTCTGGTTCTGGAGGAAGTTGCCTGATGCAGTTGCTACATTTCTGCAAATCATAATAGCAAGACATTTATACTGAGCCTACTGAGATTATTCATTTTAGGTAAAAATGTAAAAACCGAAAATGAACATGTGCCTTACTTGACAACAAACTTAACTCCTTTCCAAATCTGTTACTTTTGTCAGTCCTACGATTCTTCTGCATAAATAAAGATTAAGGTTTAACAGTGTTTAAATGAAATCCTAAGTCATTTAAATAAAAATGAATAAAATCACTTTTCAGAGTGAGATGGTCAGCATATAAATTAATAGGTAAATAGTAATTCAGATTTCAGGTGAACATGCAATTGACTGTCGAGTTTTTAAAGCACGCATCTTGATACCTATTGCTCTGTTGTCCTCATTCACCAATTCCAAAACGTTTCATCTTCAAGGCTCATTATAACATTGCATAAAATGGCAGCTAATTAACATTTTGTTTGGGTGTCCATTCTTATCTGTGCTTGAAATCCAGGAAATGTTCTAAACTAAACATGATTGCCACTTACTGAACTATCACACATAGAAGACTAAATGTGTGGTTTCCCTTATTGCCTTCTCTTTTTCCATTATCACCTCCTTCATGGAAGTTGAAAACAATGAAATGAAATGATAACAACGTTCAGCAAGCTGGCTTTGAGGAATTGTACTACTTTTCCCATCAGTCTCATATTATCTCCTTGCAACACAGCACTCTTTGGCAGTGGCCACAAAGGAGGAAGATTACAACAGAATGCAGGGATCTTACATCATTTCTTACCAATTTCATGTCAGATAATACCTTGCTAGAAATTACGCAAATTTAGTTCTCTCTTTTGAGCAACTTAATTGAAGTAACTCATAGAGCCAGAATTGTGTAGATGGCACAATCACCTTTTGCCTGGATTTTTAGCTGTCTTCCAGTCCATCCTGAAGGCAGTGACCAAATAGATTCTGTGCTTTTTTGCAGTTATTTACTCTTGATAGAGACCATTAAGTCTCTTCATGGTGGATAATAGACAAGAAAGGGGTCATGGCAGTAATCAAAAGTTCTACTAGATATAATCAAAATATTAGTGAACCATTTTGAATAATATATATCATATCAACCTACAGTGTATGGATATTACATTTCCTATAAAAATGGGCATGAACGCAGGTTCTTTATGGGGTTTTTCTTTATTGGGGGATCTCAGGTTAAATCAGTAGTATCTAGGGTTCTGAAATTTTCTTCCTAAGATCTTGAGTAGCAGTAGTTGTTGGACTATCCCAGGCAGATTTAAATGTGTTTATAACAGGACTTAGTATGAAGGCAGCTTGATGTTTGTTTGTTTATATCATGCCTTTATAATTGTACAAATAACTCAAAGCCAAGATTCATAGCTAAGGCAGGACTTCAGTTTATGGTTTCTTGCTTTCTAACCTGGTGCCTTAACCATTAGACCAGTGGTTCTCAACCTTTTTAATGCCGCGACCCCCAACCAGTCGTAAGTCGAGGACTAAACCGGTCGTAAGTCGAGGACTACCCAACCGGTCATAAGTTGAGGACTTTCCCTGCCGGGGAGCGCCGCACATGCGTGGTTCCACCCCCTGCGCCGGCCGAGGCATAGCTGGCAAGCGGCAGAGACGGAGCAGGCCGACCACCAGCTGGCCCAGCTCAAGGGAGGTAAGGCACCCGCTGGAAAAGGGGAAAAAAATGGCGGGCAGCCTTGCTTGGTGACCCCCGTGAAATGGTCGATCGACCCCAAATGGGGTTGCGACCCATAGGTTGAGAACCGCTGCATTAGACGAAACTGGCCTTATTTGTATATTTATGTCTTGAAACTCCTTTTGTTACTATTCCTTTGAAGCAACAGAGGGGGATGATTCTAGAAAGAAAGCAAGGAAGTGTTCAGTTTTCCTCTGTCCATCGCAAAGCTTTTCATGTAACCACCTACTTTTTATAGACTCATATTTTCCTCCAGGCTAATATTTAAATTTTTGTTTTGTTTTGCTTTGTAATCATACTTACATTAGTAGTGTGATAATTAGTAGTTAGCTATAATTCAGTCACTTTACAATCCTAGCATAGAGATCTATATAGATCACAGGAATTTATAGCTTGGTTTATAAGTTAAGGGAGACATATGCTAGAGGGAGAAAGATATTGAGAATATTCCTCAGAAGCCTAACATTTTTTTAAAAAAACATTTGTTTCTATAATTTCTGTTTCTTAAGCCAGCAGAATGAATTGCTTCAAGTGGCACGTATTAAATAAGTACATTTTTCTACCATTGTTGATTATTTTTAGAATGTGTAACATCTTTCTTTGTGTTTCTAGGAAAACAGTCTTACAGATGACATCAGAATATCAGATTGGAAAGAGCAGATTTTCCAATCTCATTGTGTTTTGCTGGCCAAAGGCTGCAAGGCTGCAATGGAATTGGCAAAGCATGCTGCAGGAATTCAGAAGATGGCGTTTAACTATGGGAAGCACATGTCTATGTGTCACAAGGTATGACTTCCCTCTTCTTTAAAAGCTTCCCAAATGGCCAAGCAGCCAGCATTCTTTTTCAAGAAGCATGTCTTTCCGTAGATAATATATGTCTCTTAAAAAAAAAAAAAAAAAAACACCTTACACATTTAGTTCATTTGTGACTAAACTGCATGGAAAGATACTTATACAAGCTATTTCGCATATCACAGCATTCATTTCACTGTACTATGTCGATATACTTAACAGCCTTTAAAACTGAGACAGCTGTCAAAGTAGCCAACTAATCCCAGGAAGCTAATGTGAGTGAATAGGAGGAGAGAGCAGAAGGTTTACAGGGAGCTCAGTATGGAATTAGAGAGATTTGGGGAGTTATGGTAGCTGCTTGAGCATCTGTGGAAGGGGACAAAAGAGGGTGCTTGGCCGCCCTGGAAATTCTCAATGTATTTATCTAGAAAATTGCATCCCATTTTATTCATAGTATACATGGCAGGTAGTAACTGTAATGTATTACAACAAACAAATGAAACCATCAACATAAAGATTCAGTTAAACCAGGGGTAGTCAACCTTGGCTCTTTTATGACTCGTGGACTTCAACTCCCAGAATTCCTGAGCCAGCTGTGCTGGCTCAGGAATTCTGGGAGTTGAAGTCCACGAGTCATAAAAGAGCCAAGGTTGACTACCCCTGAGTTAAACTATTGGAATAACCATATCTCAATAGCTATGTAAAGATCATCTGAAACGAGAAACTTTTTAATTGACATTTGAATGAATGTTGAAGATGTTGGCCATTTCCAAAAGAATGGTTCTTCATGAAATAATTTCTGCCCTTATTTGGTGATTCTTAACAGACAACTTGCTCCAATATAGTACACACTCACCCACCCCCTCCCAATTTGATCCGTAAGAGGCCAAAGCAACCTGAGGTTGAAAGGTTTAATTATAAAACAGGGAGAGAGAGAGAGAAAGGAATGACTATGACTATTCTGGGTAAATGGAACCATTTCTCTCCTTCCACACTTGCTGTTTGGCCCTCCTGTTGCTCCGGCAGCGGAGGCCTTTCTCTTCCTTTCCCAAGCAGACACTGAGAAGGGAACGATGGCTATTATCACATTTTAATTTAGTCTTGGGAGCCAGCGTAACGGGGTTGCAGCATTTGCAGCTGCGTTGGTTTCTGCTGTCACAACAGTCCCCTGGCTACAATCCCCTTGCCAATCTTCTGTGCTAAATCTTGTTGAATTTGGAGCTGTATGTGATCTTGCCTTCACCTTTGAATGCTCAAGGCTGAGAAGACAAGGGAAGAGAAGCCGGATAGGGCAGATGAGGGACAACATTGATTGCTGCAGAGATTGACAGAAGAGAGATTGTGTATCATTGTCGAACTACCAATCTAAGGCATAGGCAGTCTCCTCTTCAGATATCCTGTATAGGACATAACTTGGAGTTTAGTGCTACCATATCTGGGCTGTATTCTGGACGCCCATTAGATGGCAGCAGTGAGCTTGACAGGGTAGCATGGAGAGCATTTGCCTATAAAGTTGCCAGGAGTCGGCACAAGACTGAACGGTTAAAAGTAACTAATTACAGTATGTGTGATGAAACAAGTAAAGATAGGGTCAAATAAGAATGAATGGATGATACACCTGAAGGCAGGACAAGAAGCAACAGATGGAAACTAACCAGAGAAGCAACCTAGAACTAAGGAGAAATTTCCTGACAGTTAGAACAATTAATCAGTGGAACAACCTGCCTCCAGAAGCTGTGAATGCTCCAATGATTTAGGGTTTCCTGCCTGAGCGGGGGACTAGATGACCTCCAAGGTCCCTTCCATCATCATCATCATCATCATCATCATCATCATTATTATTATTAGTGAATATAGATTGAACACAAAATTGTGCAACCAGTAGAAGAGAAATATGTTTAGGTGAGCTTTGTCACGTAAAGAGAATTAATGATGGTCAAACAAATGTACGAAGTGAATAAGTTGAGAGGAAGTGGGAGAGTGAGACAATCATGTTTGCATGGGATTGATGGGATCTTCAAAATGAGAGACAAATTGATTAAAGAAGAAAAAGCAGTTTGTAGATTAGTGTGTAGACACAACAGAAACAAGGTTGGAAGTTACAGGGCAGGGGTCTTCAAACTTGGCCCTTTTATGACTTGTGGACTTCAACTCCCAGAATTCCTCAGCCAGGCACACCTGGCTAAGGAATTCTGAGAGTTGAAGTCTACAAGTCATAAAAGGCCCAAGATTGAAGACCTCTGTTATAGGGAATGGTGTTGGGGTAAGATCGGTTCAGTTAAATTTCCACTTTGCTCTTCTGCCTTTGTTTTGGGGATTTTTGCACTTTGTATTATATTGCTTAACTTGAAGAGAATAGCCCACAAATATATAGATAACAACATCTGAGAGCTGATTCAAATCTCATATGATTAATATCGCCAATTGTCTATATTACTTTCTCTCTGATTAATGAGTTATTGACATTCACTCCTATTGAAGGATGAAATAGGAGTTAACCCTCTTTTCAGCTCAGTATCCACATCAAAAAAGTCACTTCAAATGTCACCAGATTTGGTTTACTTTTTAAAGTTCACTTTGTTTGCCTACAAGTCCAAACCACCAACATTTGAAGTAAAATTATGTATATGGAGGCAGTGTCCTGGCAGGAACAGAATCTAATTTCCATCTCTGATATTTCCAGAGATCCTATTCTATTTATATAGTGTTGTGCATGCTCACAGACTTCTTCAAAATATGCTTCTTGTTATATTTTAATCAAATAGACATTGGAACAACTTGAAAACCCCTAAATAGTGTGCATTGGTACAAGGCATTTTTTCTTGTCTTTTGCAATTTGCATGTTTAAAACCTCACATAATATTAGTTGTTGTTAAATGCATTTCCTGTGGATAACTACTCTTAACTTTAATCCCCTTCTTTCAGCTAAATGCTGATATTCAGCCATTTATTGATGGAAATTCGAATGATTCCCTGCCATTTAACTTAAATTCTGCTCCTGCAATATTCCATCAAGAGTTTGTTGGAAGAGAAGTCTGGATTAAGCAAATTAAAGAGGTAAATAAATAGTTATATCTATAGTGGGTATGTTTGTACATCTTGCAATATCATAATCATCCCCTCCTATTAATTTGTTTTTTAAAAAATCATAGTTAACATTAATCACAGCTATAGAGTCTGAATCCAACTATACAGTTCCACAAAAGGTATTATTGTTATAATTCTCTTTTTTCTTCCATTTGAAGAACATTAAGCATTTATAAAAAGAAACAGTTTTCCTATTTCTGCATGTTTATTATTTAGTAGACCTAGAAATTAAATGTGCTACTGTTGAGTGTGTTTATGTGCATAAAGTCTATGATTCTTATGGTAATTTCTTTTTAAAATTCATCCGGTTACACTCAATTTTATTAAAATACAAAAATAAATGTAATTTAAAATATGCTTGCCTTCCCTACAGTTTTAGTTTTACAATAATTGAATATTTCTAGCATAAAGCAGAGGGAATGAGCTGCTCATGCATATGTGATTATAATTCAAAACACAGCTGGTTGGGCACATGTTAGCCTACTAGCTTTGATATTATTGCTTACTTATGATTGTGGTTCCTTCCCAAAAGCTATCTCAACAGAAGCATTTTAATATAAGCCTTGATATAAGTCTTTTAATATATGACTCTTTCTTCAAATGGGAAATAGAGTGAAACTCCCCACTTTGCTCCCTTCCTTCTTCTCTTTCTGGGGAACCCTTCAAAAAGTTTGACTGTGTATTTTCTACGTTGCAAGCCCTGTCTTTGTAGAAGGCTGATCCTTCAGAGCTGTATTTGCTACTATAGGTTACATGCAGAGGTGGATGTAATTTGCTTGCTCCCATTCTTTCTCATGAGACTCTAATTGCATAGAGGAAAGTAATGCGGAATATGGCTAAGGGCCATGCTTCATTGATCCATAAACTCATCACAGTCTTTCTCGGAAACAAAAGAAAGAGTTCCACTTGAGAAGTGGTTGAAAGAACTACGGTAGTTTCTTTTGTAGCGGGTATCATGTCCACTCTCTGAAAGATGTCAGTAGAACAGGAATTAGTAGACACCTGACAAGCCAAATGTGAGTCCTTAAACCTGATGAAATATATGGGCTTTCTATTTAGCACAGGGGCACGATGGCTCAGTAGTAAAAGAAGCTGAACTTGTCAGCTGGAGAACTCATAGCCTGGGTTCGAGACCCCAGCTCCATGCGACGGGGTGAGCTCCTGTTACTTGCCCCTACCCCTGCCCACCTAACAGTTCTGAAGCATGCGAATCCAAGTAGATTAATAGGTACCACTTTGGTGGGAAGGTAACAGCGTTCCATGTTGCCTTTGGCATATAGTCAGGCTGGCCACATGACCACGGAAATTGTCTTCAGACAATGCTGCTCCCTCGGCCAAGAAACAGAGATGAGCACCATGCCCTAGAGTTGGACATGACTGACAGGAAAACCTTCACCTATTTAGCACAACGTGTTAGATCTTTCTTAGAGTTTCATGCAGCTTATGATTTACAGGGTTGTAATAATATAATTTTTATTTGTTTTTCTTACATGGTTTAAGACTCAAGGCAAAGGAGACTTAATAGACTATAGCAAGGTGAGTAGATAAAATATGTCTTCGTTCTAAAGACTTGTTAACTTTTATGTTTGAAGGAATATATGAAGGAGCCTTGCTATTACCATTGTAGTATTTATTTCATCTCAGATTTCAATCACAAATTTCCTCGTAAAGCAGCTTATAACAATTACAGTACAATGTGTGTGATACAGGTATATAAAATGCAATAATGGGACAGGATCGGATTTTCAGCCGAGTCTGATTTCAGGCATGATAGACTCAAGAGCTGGATGCACTTACAAAGTAGCACAACAATCAGGTATACAGCCAGTGGTAGGATTCAGCCAGTTCACACCAGCTCGGCAGAACCAATAGCTAATTTTTTGTTGCCCAGACCCAGAATGGACTTGTGGAAGCGGCATCCACACAGAGAACCGGTTGCTCACATATCTGAATCCCACCACTGTGTACAGCCAACAAATATTCCTATATCCAAGTTTGTTTCTTAATTGCTCCTGTGTATTACTGATGCAATTATTGTTGTTCTTGTTTTTAGAAGGCTTATTAGGATCAGATTCAAGAGCCTTTAGGCCAATTACCGTATTTATTGGCGTATAACACGCACTTTTTCCCCCTGAAAATAGGGGGCAAATGATGTGTGCGTGTTATACGCCGATATAAGCTCTCCGCCGCCCGGCCCCACCTCGGCCCGGGCAGCCACGGCCCTTCCCCGTCCTCCTGCTGCCGCTGCCGCCGCGGCCCTTC